ACCAGTAGCTCAGACACTGAGAGAAACAATCAATCAATGGGACCTCTTGAAACTGAGAAGCTTTTGTAGAGCAAAGGATACAGTCAACAAGGCAAAGTGACAGCCTACAGAATGGGAAAAGATCTTCACTAACCCCACATCTGACAGAGGACTGATATCCAGAATATATAAGAAACTCAAGAAATTAGACATCAAAATGCCCAATAGTCCAATTCAGATATGGGATATAGAACTAAACAGAGAATTCTCAACAGAGGAAACTCAAATGGCTGAAAGACATTTAAGGAATTGCTCAACATCCCTAATTATCAGGGAAATGCAAATCAAAACAACTCTGATATACCACCTTATTCCTGTCAGAATGGATAAGATCAAAAACACTGAAGATACCTTATGCTGGAGAGGATGTGGAGCTAGGGGAACTCTCCTCCACTGCTGGTAGGAATGCAAGCTTGTACAACCACTTTGGAAATCAATATGGCGCTTTCTTAGAAAATTGGGAATCAATCTCCCCCAAGATCCAGCTATACCACTCTTGGGCATATACCCAAGGAATACTCAAACATACCACAAGAGCACTTGCTCAGCTATGTTCATATCAGCATTGTTTGTAATAGCCAAAACCAGGAAACAACCTAGATGCCTTTCAACTGAAGAATGGATAAATAAAATGTGGTACATATACACAATGGAATTCTACTCAGCAGAGAAAAACAATGACATCCTGAGGTTTGCAGGCAAATAGATGGATCTAAAAAAAATCATCCTGAGTGAGGTAACCCAGAGTCAGAAAGACAAACATGGTATGTACTCACTCAGAGGAGGATACTAGATGTGGAACAAGGATGACTGGACTGATACTCAACACCAGGGAGGCTACCTGGAAAACAGGACCCCAAAAAAGATACAGGTATCGCCCAATGACAGAGAAATGGATGAGTTCTTCATGAACAGCCTGGATGTGACTGGGGGTAATGAAGGGCGAGGGTCGAGGGAAAGAGAGCTTGGGGGAGTGGGAGATTCCAGCTGGATCAAGAACAGGGAGGGAGAACAAGGAATGGTAAATGAAGACCACATGAGAATAGGAAGAAACAAAGTGCTAGAGAGTCCCACAGAGGTCTCATCTCTTAATAATCAATCTTAGCGTCTGTGCTACTGGTGTTCTATTCAGGAAGATGTCTCCTGTGCCAACACAACTGAGGATATTTACAAATTCCTCTCTTATTAGGTTCAGTGTAACTGAATTTATGTTGAAATCTTTGATCCACTGGGACTTCAGTTTTATACAGTATGATCAGTATAGATCTATTTTCTACATTTTGAATTAAGTTTATATACTATGTTTATAATCCTATAATATATCTCTTCAGAGTAGGACCATGGTGTTTCCATCCCAGTCAGAACCTTATTCAAAAAGATCATACTTAGAATCACATCTTGAGGCTAATGCGATGTATCCACCAGTAAATTGGGGTTTGCCTCAGAAATCTTTGGTCTATGCTTTAACCTTTAAGGTAGGATATGTGAAATATTATTGGTTAGAAGAAATATTTTATAACTGTCTATATTACACATTAGCATATACTTATATGTTGAATACTATATCCACTTGACAGAGACAATAACATTTTAATGTAAGATGTGATATTATCTGTTTGTGTTACCCATGAAATTGTTCCTGATTCCCCAAGAAAACAAAAGTATGATAAAAACTCATGAATCTTAGCCAAAGACCTGTAATATAATTGTTTTAAAACTCTCTCTGCAAATAAAAGAGGATAACACAATGTGGTGAGGAAGCCTATATAGGTCAAGTCATTACCATGAAGTTGGAGGTCTCCTGGCTCAAACACAACACATAATGGATATAGGTGAATCAAGAAATCAAATTTTGTGAAGGTAAATGAACAAGCAAATACTATGCATTTTAAATGACTCTTTTATTTATGTAATAATAATTTTTAAAGAAAAAGCTAGAATATATATGACTTCAAGAAAAATAATATTAATATCTTCTATTTTTGTATAATTAATATTAAGGAAGAAGTAATATTTCCCATGATGCAATTGTATTTTTTTTGCAATTTCATGTCTCAATATTCCTTTTTTTATCATTTAAAGGTTTGGTTCTTTAAGATATTCATTGACTATATTATAAATAGAGTTAATATATTCCTTATGCATTGTGATAACTATAGAAAAAAGAATCAATAATAGCAATTCTTAGAATAATATTCTATTTTGCTGTTTAACATTAATTTTGAAACTAATACTTTAAATATTTACACTAGAGAGTCTTGTTACTCTCTTTTCTAATAATAATAATATTATAAATGGTCCTAGTCAGTACCATCCATGTTTATTAACTAAAGAGCATCTCAAAATACTTTTATCTAAATATTTCCAAACCCTCCTGACTAAACAATTATTTTATTGGCTTAATAAAACACTATTTAATATACATCAAACATTATATTTATTCAAATTTTGTTGCTTTATTAAAAAATATTTTCATTTATTGTCCTACCAGGTTTTCTGTATTTTAATTATATTGTTGTGTTATGTATTTGATACTGAGAAACATGTTGTTTATCATATACCTAAGCATTCTCATAGATTTTTAATTATGCAATTAATTTACTATATTATGTGTCTCCATTTGGGAAAACACATTTTATTATCCTTTTTAGCTTTAATATCAAAAATAATTTATTTTTATTAAACATAGTCATTATTGTCATTGAATATAAATATTTATGTCAGTTAATTGAATCAAAGAGATTGTTTGTGAAAAATAAATGAAATAGATTTTTGTCTAAGAACTTGTAAATTGTACTACTGTTATACCTCTAAAATTATACAATTATGTATATAAAATATAACATTAATAATATACCATATATAAATATACATATATATATTTCCCTACAATATATAATATATATTGTATATTGTTTAAAAATACATATTATCCCTATAAGTCAAGGTGTTAAAAGTTACAGAATCTTTGTAATAAATATATAGTCATAGAACCTATGGAATTTATATATTACTGGAATGACTTACAGGCTGAAGTCCAACTAATCTAACCAAAGCTAGCTGTGAATAGAAAGTACAAGAATCTAGTAGTTGCTCAGTCCATTAGCCTGGGTGTCTCAACTGGTCTTCTCTGTATACTGGAATCCTGAAGTAGCAAAGGAATGGATGTGCTCACAAGACAAGGGCAACAAGCAAAAAACAAAACTTTCCTACTTCCATATATTTATACAGACTTCCAGAAGATGGTACAGCCCATATTAAAGATTTGTCTTCCTACCTCAAGATCTTGATTAAAGACATGTTTCTCCCTGCCTCAAGGTCTGGGTCAAAAGCATGAATCTTTCAGCATCATGATCTGGATCACAGTTTTGTCCTCCATTTCTGGATTGTAGTTCATTCCATGTATAGTGTAGTTTACAACAGAGAATAGCTATCACACCATGTATAGCCTAGTTCAGTTTCTAGGTTGTTTTAGATCATGAATCTTCCAGTGTTGCTATCTACACAGCTACATTACATGACATTGATATATACATGCATATTTACTTTTATGGAATATTATATTGAAACAATTTAAAAAATTGGTTAGTATAATCATTTTTCATAGGGTAATAGCTTTTGCCACCAAGTACAGTTAAGGCTGAGTTTGACTACTGGGATTTACATAGAAGAAGGAGAGAAATGACTCCCTGCTAATTTTCCTCTAATCTATATACCCCCCCACACACACATACAAACACTAAATTTTAAAACTAAATGAAAGGTTTACATTGTAAATTTCTAATTAAAAAGTGAACAGTTTGAAAAGCACTTTTTAATAAAATATTAAAATAAGTATTTCCAATGTGAGAATAAATACACAAAAGAATGTGAAATGAATACTGTGCTGTTAGCCATATTTTTCACATGCAGTTCTCTCTTTAAGAAAAAGTCCATGAAGAAATAGAAATGTCCTGCCAGCATTAAAGCTTTTATTCTGCTTCTATCCTTGCCAAAGAATTAAAAATTGTAAATTGAGATTTAACATAATCAAATATTAATTTAGTTCCTATTAATGTTATTAAAGTGATTTTATTTTCACTACCTGTCTTAGGGTTTCATGCTGTGAAGATACACCATGGCCATGTCAACTGCTACAATGGAAAACATTTAATTGGGGCTCACTTACAGTTCAGAGCTTAAGTATATTACATCATAGTGGGAAGCATGATGGCATACAGGCAGACATGGTGCTGGAGAAAGAGCTGAGAGTTCTACATATTGATCCCTGGGCAACAGGAAGAGAATGCCACACTGGCTGTGGCTTGAGCTCCTGAGACCTCAATGCCTACCAACTACTACTGAAAATGGAGCCTGCCCTGGAGTGTGGCTGATAGACTAAGTAACACTGCATTGAGGGAAACTGATTTTCTGTTTTCCTTAGATATCAGTGACACATAGCTCCTTGATTAGGTGTGTGACTTTGTGTCTACTTCCTTTGTCAGTAATGGAATGCTGTCTGAATTGTACTTGTTCAGGAATTGTACATGCTGCCACAGTCTCTTTGAATTCATATGTGTGTCAGGTCTACTGTGTCCGGATGACATTGTTTTCCTCCAGTTATTTGTAATTTATGGTTCTTAAAATGTTTCTTCCTCAAGTCAACATATATAACTGACCACTGAGGGGTAGATTATTGTTACACACACACACATATGAGAATATATAAATATATATTTAATATGCATTATATGAGATATATTTAATGTAATATAATTTGTAACATGAGAATAGTTAAATATGTATTTAATGTTATATAATATATCATAATTATATAAAAGATATATAATTGTATGATGAGGAAGCTCATGCCTATGGAAGACTAATTCTTCTTTCATTTGTTTGTTTGTTTTTTTGTTTTTCTGAGTCAGGGTTTCTCTGTACAGCTTTGCACCTTTCCTGGATCTCGCTCTGTAGACCAGGCTGTCCTTGAACTCACAGAGATCCACCTGGCTCTCCTCCCAAGTGCTGGGATTAAAGGCGTGCACCACCATGCTTGGCAGAAGAATAATTCTTAATTGCCTATAGCCTCTCAACTGGGGTTAGAGCAATATTTTTGAATTTTTAAAAATACTTTCTTTTCTTTTATAAATTAAGTATAGTGAACAAATTTGTGAATACATTAAAAATCATCATTAAATACTGAGCTGCAAATCATTTGCTTATTGTACTGAAAATTACCATTTTTGCAGAATAAAATAAATGAGCAGCATATATAGTAAAAATATTTTGAGTGTTCATTTTTGATAGACAACTTTGTATATAAATACAAGAAAGCTACAGTTAATTATTGGAACAAATTTGTTAGTGTCACAGTTAATCCTTTACTAGCTTTCCTATGGCATTTGGGACACATATATGTAATCAATAGATATATGCAGAGGTGGAAAACAAAATATGCTACTGCTAAGAGAATTAAAATATTGAAAACTAATACAAAATAAGCCATATTTTTATATAATATAACATAATGATATTATTTTGCCATTTAGTGATTAATTCTATTCTAATTCCACAAATAAGTCTTATGGCAGTGAAGACTAATATATAAATGTCAAATTGAAAATGGAAAAAATAATTTCTATTCTTATTGTACTGTATGCCAGAATCAAGTGTTGCAGCTCATTTACTATTGACTTTTCAACCATATCTGATCAACAATTCAACCCCAGAAATCATACAATAAACCAGCAGAGTTGTAGTTATTTAACATACTTAAGTAGAATGGATGTAATATCAAAAACGCTAAAGTCGCCGGGCGGTGGTGGCGCACGCCTTTAATCCCAGCACTCGGGAGGCAGAGCCAGGCGGATCTCTGTGAGTTCGAGGCCAGCCTGGGCTACCAAGTGAGCTCCAGGAAAGGCGCAAAGCTACGCAGAGAAACCCTGTCTCGAAAAACCAAAAAAAAAAAAAAAAAAAACGCTAAAGTTGGGTCACTATGAATCTGATCTTATTGATATTCTAACATTAAAATTTCTGGTCATACTAGGTCCTGATTTCCAGCTGCCAGTCCCCCTTTGTTAATCTCTATCTTTTCTATGTGCCTGTGAGTGTTTTATGTTTTGGAGCTAAACTATGGTAGTTTTCTATCTTTCATGTCTATCAGAAGTTTTTCATTAACAGTTATTGTCATTGCTGTGTAAACTGATGAATTTGTTTGGCTTAACTAGTAATAAAAGTGCCCCATGTATGTGGGGTTTTCATGTTTTAAGCTAGTAATTTCATGGGAAAACTGCAAACTTTGAAGATTCTTTGTTTTTATGTGAATAGCTAGAAGCAGTAGAATTTCTTAGCCCAATGAACCCCTTTTCCATGAATTATTGTTTTTGCAGGGTTATTTATAGATTATCTTTATCAAGAAAATACATTATTGTGGTCAGCAGTGGTGCACACCTTTAATCCCATCACTCGGTAGGCAGAGCCATGCTGATCTCTGCGAGTTCAAGGCCAGCCTGGTCTACAGAGAGAGACCCAGGACAGGCACCAAGACTACACAGAGAAACCCTGTCTCGAAAAAACAAAACAAAAAGAATATGCATTATTTAAAGTGTGGCAAAATTTAGGAACTCCACGAAGTTTATTTATTTATTTAATTATTTAGCACAGGACTTCATGGTTTAGATGTCTTCACACATTTTACACAAACAGCTTTCTATCAAAATGATCCTGGTCTTAAGATTTGCCAAAGGTTTTATAACTTACCAGCCTGTAGTGTTAAACCTTTGCCAGTACAATCATGTCTTCCCATAACTGATTGTATATCATTCTCAATTTTCATTTAAGAATCATAAATTTAGTTGTCATCCCTCTCCTGGGAAAGCATGTTACATCAGCTTATTATTTTCTTATGTCTAATACAGAGTCATCTCTCTTGTGCTTTGGTGACTGCATGCTGACTGACCATCAGGTAATAATACTAATACTAACAGTAATCTTAAATGTAAAGGAAAATATGTTAAATGAGACACATGTCAAATATGAGTAAAACCCTTTCTACCAATAATAGCACCTATGCTTGAAATAACAGCTCTTTCAGATATGGAAAATGCATTTTGATAGTGTTTATTCCAAATCTTTAGATAATAGTGTCCCAATTTTGACAAAGCATGTGGTATGAACAGATAAATCATTTTTATTAAGATCATCTTGTGAAAGTTACATACGTGTTGCATATCCAAAGAATGTTCAAGACTCAAAATGAATGGAACTCCATTTTCGCTCATGATTTATGTTTATATATGAATATGCCTTCCTCTATATTTATATATAATTAGTTATTGATATATTTTTATAAGATTTCATGTCAATTTCCTCAAGACTGTGTTTCAAAAATAGAGATTACAGAGGAGAGAGAAATAGAGAGAGAGAGAAACCGAGGCCATGAAATTTTATTTTAATCACATGTGTTTTCAAATCTCAGCACATAAATATAGATTGTATAACTTTTCCGGAAAAAGCTCTCCTACAGATACTTGGGAGACCTCCTAAGCAACTATATAATGAATGGGAGGTAAATTTCAAACAAATAGCTTATTTTTATTTCCAATTCAGTCATCCATTATGTTGGTCCATTATGTTTTTGCTCCCATGGAGCTGAGCACGGTAGGAACAATGAATTGAGCAGAGCTGACTACCATTCTCATTATACCAGAAGCTGAGATGGGATAATTTCAATAGAGTATCCTGGCCAATGACTGGATAGAGAAGGTTGAAAGAAGTGAGGAAGTCATTTACAGATTGGGCAGTATCACAAAGGCAAGATTATCTAGGCTCAATCCCTCATACACAACTCATGTGGTCCTCTTTGGAATACTCTGGGCATCACCTGCTGTTAAAACTCACTTTGCTCTCATGCAGGTTAGCAAATAACATCTATTTGGAACTATTAGGGTTTTCTATGATTTCACTAAGGCAAAACCCCACTGAGCTTTAAATAAGAAACTGCACCTGTAGTTATCTAATTCTACCTTAATATATTCTGCACTCTAATAATTGAAAATCAAACAACAGATCTAAGAATAAAGGTTATTGAGGTCTAAGAGTTAGGATAAATAATAACAGAAAGTGTTATTCATGTTGTATCTAAGCAAAGTTAATCATTTCAGGTATTGGGTCACTTTCTTTGCATTTATTGACACCTGACCATGAGACAGAATTGGAGGACAAATTCACTAGTTCAAGTTTAGGTATCAAACTTAGACATTTATGGACTGGGTGACTCCGAGTACAGTACAGATAATAATAGTGGTTGTCTCTAAGATACAAATATGAAACACAAAATGCTATATCTAGAAATAATCATGAAAGGAGGAATCACATCTGCATGTATGCCTCTTGACAGAGCAGTCATGTGGTGCTCATATTATAAAACAACAATAAAATAATACTGAGCTATAATATTAACACAGTGAAATGGACATCACTCTCCTGATTAGAATTATATTAAAAAGTGAGAAATTGCTGTGCTATTATAATTTCACAGATTTAAACAATGACAATATTCTTTGAAGATATTCTCTATAACAAACATAATCTCACAGGTTACAATTTTACCCTTGTCCCAACAGAATGGTCCATATAAGTACAGTGATTTGAATAAACTTTGCCAACAGAGAACTGAGGACAGTTTCAGTTGTCATAGGATCAGTAGCAACATCAGGTATTTTGCACAAAATTTAATATTTAAAACTATTTATAGATCCTTGATTATAATAAACAAATAAATAGCCAGTAGAGGTGGCTCAGTAGTCATAGTGTTTACTGCTCTGACATGGGAACCTAAATTTGGTTCCCATCACCCTTGTGAAGTGGCTAACAAGGATCCTAATCCAGTTCTAAGGGATCTGAAATCTTCTTATTACCAATGATGACAAATACATACATGTGGTACCCACCATACACACACACAAAGGAGAGAGGAGAGAGAGAAGCACACACACATAAGTATAAAATAAATCTCAAAATTATCACTCAGATTCCAAACTTTAGTAAATGTTTGAACATGATTAAGATGATTTCAAAAATTATGCTTCATCGATCTTTTAATTATCAGTTTTATATTAAATTTTTTTTCTTAAGAATGATGTGAAACAAATGCTTTACTTACACCTGTCTTTGGATTTTAAAAAAATGGGAACTCTTTTCTAAAGATTTCCTTTCTAAATTTAATAACTACTTCAGAGCAGGACATAAATCAATAAGATCAAATGTGACACTCATTAGTCGTTAGTTGTCATGACAGAAATTACCTAAATCCTGCTTTCTAAAAGTTGAATGCAAATTGATCTTATGTAGAGGGATTTTTAGTTGGCAATTTCCTCTTCTAGTGCAGAGTATTTTTTTTTTTTTTTGCACCTTAGGGTATAACTGGCTAATATCATCAATCCTGATTTGCTTCCCAATGCAAATTGAAAACATAAAATTTGGTGGCTATGAGTCAAATTAATGTTGGTGAAAATACACGAACCTACTTTAAACTGTTAGCTGTAAGCATAGCATAGACAATTATAACAGAATCTGTTTGAGGGCCCCTTTTACTATAGCTCTATTTATTTAATCTAATTCTTCTATGATCAAAGATGCATCTAATGGGTAGGTTACCATATATCCCACATAGTCTTTCCCAAAATACACAGTTGCAAGAAGGAATGGCTTACACTAGCACTAGTTGCACATTGTAGTCCTGTTACTTTGGATGTAAGAAGCTAAAGCCATCCCGAAAAGAGTAGGTGCAACCTTTAAACCAGAACAAGATAGTTACAGCTATCATATACAATAATGCATCCATTTAACCTCTGTATATTTCTAAGCAGAACATTTCAACATCCCAGCTCAACCCATCAGAGAGTATGCTTAAAAAATTAGTGGCAACATGTCTGAATCCTTCAGCTAGACATGGTCATAATGATTAGTCTTAAGTTCATTTCCATCACATGCATGGTAAAACAAAATATTTACATGAAATTAAGACTCTTCCTGTCCGGATTAATGTGACTTGGATATGTGTGGCATGCATTTATGTGCATTTGTGTGTGTATGTATGCATCTATGTATGTGTGAATGGATATATTTTTTATGTGAGTGTGTGTGCTTTCATTATAATGGGTATACTAAATTAATCATCTTCATGTTTCCTGCTCTACTGTTACATATAGAAACACAAATTATAGTTCATATCTACATCCTAAAACCAAAGTTTTATGTGGCTTAAATTTCTGTGCATTGCACACTGACCTCAAATCAGATACATCGGTTATTTTTTTCTCTACTTTTGCAGACATAAATCAACAGGGAATGTCTTTCCCTGGGGAAGATTTCTTTCTACTGCTTTTTTCCTCCATGTAAACAAGACATAGCTTTCCTCTACAAACAGAACTTTCATTTCATTCATTTTTACAGCAAAGTTCAAATGACTATATTGGTCTTTTGAGTTTGCTTTGATTCTAAGGACTAGCCCCAAACCTAAACAGACAAACAAACAAACAAAACCCCATCCAGATAAAAGAAGAGGTCCTTTTGTGAGAATTTATGAACATCAATTCACACCGAATCCTTTTTTTTCTCCAGGAACAATTCACTGCTGTTAGTTTTGAGTGCACTTTGTACTTGAGAAGTGTTAACAGGTGAATTGATTTCATGTGAAAACATAATCTAGCATTTCACTCACTAAATAAGCCAAATTTCTGACTCCATGGGACCAATCTATGATAATTATTTTTATCTCCAATGTTACCAATTCACAGTGACATTTCTCATGATGCCAAGAGTCAGGGCTTTGAGCAAAGAAAATTTAATCCAAATGTTTTCATTTAATTTGAGGAGTTACTATGTTATATCAAAAATACATATTTAATGAAATTTACATTGTGTGGTACAAAATAGGAGATACTCATAGCCTTGTAAGGAGTTGCTTAGAAATTAATAAAAAACAACAACATCAAAAGGATGAATTATTTGGAAAAATATCTGCCATTGCAGTCAACTTATTTATTCCTAACATATCAAGTTTTCTTATTTTAGGACCATTCACCTGAATCATTTATATTCAGCAATCATATGGATTATTTTCAAGTATACATTTTATGTAAATAATTAAATTTTATTGACTATTCAACATTTGCTAGATTGGTTACAAGTCACGTATTTTAGACGAAGTCAAAGACACCTCTATTGTTTATATTTTATTTTTAATTCTGTAATACTCTTCAGTTATCATTAAATTACCCTCTGTGATAGTCTTTTCTAACTAACTAGAATTTTTCCATTGTCTAATTATCAGTCCTATTTATTTTTAATTTTTTCTGATTTTATCTTTTTATCCTGTTGATAAAGCTTATCTTCATAATGGTGTGTGGTGATCCTGTCTAAGCACGCATGACTTTTCTGCCTTTTAATTTCTATGTTTATTCATATCCTTCCAGTCTACTAAATTTCACATGAGTTTATTCTAAAGGCAACTCACATAAAAACAATAAAATATGTCTAACACCAAATCAATGGGCAGGGGTGTAAATTTATCTCTCTACCTGTACAGCAGGGGGACAAGTAGTATATTAATGTCTCTTTCTTACAAATTTAGTCAAGACCTATGTCCTTATAAATTGTCTTGTTAGTCAAGCTACTCTTAGAAATATATCCATCATTGTTATGATATTTATAGTAAGATTTCTATGTCGAATTTCATTTGGATTAGTTCAGAACGTGTTAAAAGTTGGAATTGGAGAAAAAAAAATGATTCCAAGACATATCAGAATTAGAAAGTAGAAGAACTTGTATTTGAATCAAGAACTTACTTATGTATTAGCTGACCCATGTTTATTAAAACCAAATGGTAAACTATACATATAACAGTAAGTGCTTAGTGTATTAGGTAGAGTTTCTATTGATGTGATAAAACACCATGACCAAAGTCAAGTTGATGAATAAAGGGTTTATTTAATCTTGAAACAGTCAAGTCATAGTGCATCACATAGGGAAGTCAGGACTGGAACTTAAAACAGGAACCTCGAGGCAGGAACAGAAGCAGAGGAACAGAACATTGCTTCCTGTCTCCTATTGCCACATGGCTTACTCAGCCCACTTTACAATACATCTCAGGATCACTACCCAGGGTTTTCATCACTCCCAGTGTACATCAATCATTAATTAAGGAAGTACCCTAGAGACATACCTTCAGACAATCTGATGTTAGTAACTTCTCAATGGGGGATCCTCTTTCCAGATGACTCTAATACTCTCAAGTTGACAAAAGAAAAAAAACAAAAAAAAAAAAAACAGAAAACAGCAAGGACCCTGAGCTTATCATGCATTTTCTATGTTATACATGGTTGGCTATATAATAAATTCTTTTTTTTTTCATACTTAGTTTTTTATACATTACCTTTTCAAATATTTCTCAAATTTGACCTATGTTTTCTAGTTTTTTAATGCTGGACTCTATGCATATTCTGACATCTGTATGTTCATTCTAAATTGACTTCTGCATTGTTTTACTGTTGCATCAACTGAGCAAAATCACATCAAATAAAAATATGATGGTTAATTCTGATTCCAGAATATAATCATAGATGTTGCTTTCTTAACCCTACAGATCCCAATATTAATATTACCATAAATATTGTTAAACGAGTTCACAAGATATAACAGTCAGTATTACAGGCTAAAACAGAATTTAGGATAAAAAGGAAGAATAGCATATGGAAGCAAAAATTAAAGGTTCTATATGGAGCTACATTTGAGACTGTGAATAACATGCCACAACACACACACACACACACACACACACACACACACACACACACACAAAGAGAGAGAGAGAGAGAGAGAGAGAGAGAGAGAGAGAGAGAGAGAGCGCATATTTTTTACCTGATAGCCAGTGGCCAAGTCATAGGAGCAGCAGATGACAATTGACTTCAGGGGATCAGCCCACCAGGAAACAAAACCTTGATGGGTAAATTTCAGATAGGCGAGGTCACAAGACCACAGACTCTATAATGTCTATTGCTTCTGAGGTGCCTTTACATGTTTTCTGCAGCTATCTTTTTCTGGTATCTGGCATGGTGTGAAAAGGTGTGAGGAATCCCCCTGCCTGTGATGAAGTGTATCTAATGGAAACACCTCATTCTACTGGGCATTTTTACCTGTGGATTATTATAAAGATGATTTCTCCCTAAACTCTACTGTCTAATTGATAATAATGATGTTAATTTAAATAGAGTTTTGATGATAAAAAAAATAAAAAAGGAAGTGTCACATAGCTGGACCACATGAGTTTCTATTGATGAGCCATATAGACTGTGCCTTAGTTTAAAAATTAAGAAAAACAATTGAGTCCCAGAGGCCCATCCAGCTTAAATTCTTTTAACCTAATATTTGGAGGTGCATTCACAAGTTTGGAGTACATCATAGCTGAAACAAAGCTTTGAAAATAACTTAGACTAAGATGATTGAGTTAGATTATTTTGAGGCTGAAAACCCAAGATGACAATCTAACATTTTAGAAAGGCAGACAGCTAAATGAGGAACTTGCTAAGGTCAAGGAACAAGAACAAAGCAGCCCAATTATCCTTAGCTTATGTGCCTTTCTTACTAGGATTGGGAGGTGACAAAAGGTGATGATTAATTCCTTGTACCCATTTCTGCTCTCAATATTCAATATCTCCTGATATTAAAAAGTATTGATGATTTAAAGTAGAGCTGACTGATTTTTTTTTTAATGTATAAAATTTAGGTTTGTGATTCCGTCAAGATTCCTTATAAGATTGCCTTTCAAGGTAAGTAATAAAGAAATTGGTCCCTTCGTTGCAACCATAAAACACAGCCTAGTCCACCCGGGTAGGAGGTACTTATTATTGACACTTTTGGTCAGCCTCAGTGCTTCCTTGAAACTAAATGTAAGAATTGGACTTAGCTTCTGTTGGTCTTTTCTGTGTTGAACACACAGACTGCAAGCTCAGCGCCACTTAGAAATCTTTGGCAACTGTTAACTCTGAAGCTCACACAGGATTGAGCCTGTATAATAATGAGTATTCAGATATGAGTAATACCTGGGGGGGGGTGCGCTCACCAACCTAACACAGAGCGCCTGTGTGGCCTGGGCAGTCGTCTCCATGACAGGTAAGGGGACCTGCTGACGTCCCATGCAACCTAAGTCAGAAGCTCATTTTTTAGTAAAAGGAAGCACCTGTAGGGCCTTGGCCCCCATTTTGGGTAGCTGTTGCCTTGCTTGCTGACCTGGACCTTGATATCCTCCCTATGCTAATTCCCTGCCAGGTTCCACCCTCCTGAATGCTTAAGGGAAGATCCTTGTCTGTGTATCCTGCATATTGGGCGTTAACAGCTTAGATGCAAGATTGTAAAACATCAGTAGTGAACTTCTGCCCTCAGGGGTTCTCCCATTGTACTGTAAGCCTGTATTTAAGACCTACTCCCTCCTTCAATAAACTGCATTTGGCATAAAAAAAATGGTCTTAGCTTTGGGTCACAGAGAGAGTGGCTATATATTTTTCACTTGATTTTCTTTGTTCTTATATCACATATGTTATTTTTGTCTTCTCTCTGTGATGATTCATAAGGATATGGTCTATAATCATAAGCAGTCATTACTAGTCAAAACCTTACATGGTCATAGGAGTAAAAACAATTACAAAGAAATCACAATATTAAACAGAAATAGTTGATTTTCATTGGTTTTGTGACATGATTAAACAAAAAATAAAATCTCTACTTTGCATGCATGTAAGTCACAATTTAAGAAATTTTAAGTTCTGTCTGAATTATTAAAATATGAATAATCAGAGAGAGAGACTAATTATAAGCACATATATTACAAATATAGAAAATAAATCTTAAACTTAATTATTAATTTGTATATGCAGATTCCTGATATTCAACTTTGACTTTCTTTTGGTTTTCTTTTACCTTTGAGACACTCATTGTTCTATATTTATTTACTAGAGGTATAATGCATTATATTTTTCTATAAACTTCATCAGGAAACTGGAGGATGTAGCTGAATTTTTCCTGTGTCTCACCCAGTCCATAGCTGCTCAGACCCAAGTAAACATACAGAGGCTTAAATTAATTAAAACTGCCTAGCCATTAGCTCAGACTAACTATTGACAAGCTCTTGAACTTAAACTCAACCCATTTCTGTTAATCTATATATCGCCACATGATCCATGGCTTTACCTGTATGCCATTACATGGTGCTCCCTGGAAGGTGGGCTGGCATCTACTCACTCAGCTGCCTTCTTCACAGAATTCTCTTTGTCTCTTTACATATACATATACATATACATATACATATACATATACATATACATATACATATACATATACATATACATATACATACACATACACATACACATACACATATACATCATATACATATACATAAATACATATACACATACACCCTGAAAATACATCCTGCATATACATCCTGCCAGGCTACTGGCCAATCAACTTCTATTTATCAACCAATCAGAGCAACACATTCACAGCATATAGAACATCCCACAGCAGGAGGATGTGTGTGAAACTTAGAAATGGAATATTGGGAATTACAGTTCATTAATATAATATATGAAGTAGAGAATTATCTACTTTAAAAAAATCATCGTTGAATTGAAATTTGATTGCTGATGTTGATGAGTGAATTGTGGCATTGCTGTTACAGTCTCTTGGGATAGTAATATATAATCTTTTATATGATGAGAAAGCTATGGTATGTGATTGATATGAAATTGATTTTCCTGTGCAAAGCAACCAAGGGTCCTTAGAAGTCACAAGATTTTTATGAAACTTTTGTAATTCTCATATGTCTGTTTTTCTAAGTCTAAATATCATTGATAGCTCAGATACCTTGAAAGGGAAATCAACATATGAATTGTAGCAAGTCATTTGTATCCACATTGTACTTTGGGAAACACTGCCATCAGGGCCCTTCTAGCAATTATATCAACTTAAAAGCAAGTTGGAAGAAAGTTGACAACCAATATACTCCACTATAAACATGGATTATAAGTGAAAATAAACTTTCTCTGTCTTAAATAGTGTAGATATTGGTTAATGTTAAGTGAAAAATAATCTCAGTTGATATTACTCTGATAATCATAATAATCCCTATGTTATCTAGGATAACATATAAATATAAAATGAATATAAAAGAATATCTGAAAGTTAATTATAAAATGTCAAAATTGTTAGGTCCTTGATTTTTGATATTATATATAAATATTGTTTAATTCTTTAAATTGTAGCATTTTCACATAGATTTGCTGATGTAAACCTGTAATCACCATACACTAGAAAGGAAGAAGCAGGAAGATGAAGAGTCTGAGACCAACCCTAGATAAAAAGCAAGATCATGTTTCAAATTTATGCACATGTATGTACATACATGTGTACATATATGATGTGTGTGTGTGATGAAATGTAAATGTGTTTACTGAAAGTAGATACAAGCAGATGTCAGCAGATTCAGATCCAGAAAGGCAAATACCATATTACCTCTCTTATTAGGTTCAATGTTTACATACCTACCTAGAATTATTTATACATGTATTACATAAAACCAGAAGAGAAACTCTGAAGAACTGAAGAAAACTAGAAGGAGAACAGAGACGAAGGAGGGAAAAAATGGGGGATAAATATGGAAAAAGTAAATGATATTCTAAAAAGAAACTGTCTTTATGAAACCTGTCATTAATTTACAATGAATATACAGCAAAGTATCTGCTAATCATAAGCTAAGGATGTAAAACAGTGGGAAGAGTGTCTACCTAGCATTCCTAAACTGTTTGGCTCATTCCTTAACACCACATAAAATCCAGATCATGCTTGTAATCCCAGTACTTGGTAGACAGAGAAAGGAGGATTATAAATTCAAGGTTTCCTCAGCTTCATAGTGAGTTTGAGTGTAGTTTGGGACAAATGAGATCCTTTCTCAAACAAAAAAGCAAACATCATACTAGATCTGGAACATTAAAAACATTTATTGGAGTATCAATAAGCTCAACAGTGCTACACAGATTTATTCTATTGTGAATTAGTAAAATTAGATATCTTGCACACAGCTGAGGGTGAGGCACAACTATTCTTCTTCACTAAATTATCCCTGACTCAGTTGTATTTAGGCTTATTTATATCTGATACACCTTCTGTTTCAACGGGCCTTTTCAACATAGATAAATCTACCCAAAACTACCTACTGTAATCTAGGAAAATCTAAAAGTAAATCCAGAACCTTTACCTATAATTTAAGAGCTAAACATGCAAGTTAATTTAAAAATTGTGTCATATATGACCTCTTTAGAGTAGGATTTTTGTGAATACTCTCTGGAATAATTTTTTTAATATATTTTATTTATTTATTTCTGCATCCCTACTGCATTTTCTCCTCCCTCTTCTCCTCCCATTTCCTCCCTTTTTCCCTGTACCCTACCTCCCTTTCCACAATCCACTCCTCCTCTGTTTCTGTTCCAAAAGTGATGTGCCTCCTATGAATATCAACAAAGAAGGGCATATCAAGTTGTCTTAAGAATAAGAACCTCTCCTTGTATTTAGGCTGGGCAAGGCAATCAAGTATAAGGAATCAGTTCCCAAGAGCCAGCCAAACCTTTAGGAATATCCCCTACTTTCATTGTTAGAAGTTCCACAAAAAGAACAAACTACACAACTGTCACTTATATAGAGAGGGGGCTTAAGTTGGTCCCATGCAGGCTCTCTGGTAATTGGTTCAGACTCTATGAGTTCCAATGAGCCCTAGTTAGTTTTTTCTGTGTATTTTCATAATCCAATTTTAAAAAAAATATGGCACAGGCCTTAAGAGAGAATTCTCATCAAAAGATTCAAATGGCAGAGAAACACTTAAAGAAATGTTCATCATCCTTAGCCATCAGGGAAATGCAAATCAAACATTCCATCTTACACCTATCAGAATCTAAAACACAAAAAGATCAAAAACACACCTCTTAGCTTATACTGGAGAGGATATAGAGGAAGGGGAACACTCCTCCATTGCTAATGGGCATGCAAACTTGTACACGGACTTTAGAAATCAACATATCAGTCTCTTAGAAAATTGGAAATTGATCTACCTCAAGACCTAGCAACATCACTCTTTGGAATATACCTAAAGCATGATCAATCATGACAGAAAGATACTTGCTCAACTATGTTCATAGCAGCTTTACTTGTAATAGGCAGAACTTGAAAACAATCTAGATGCTCCTCAACTAAAGAACAGATAAAGAAAAAGTGGTACATTTCCACAATGGGCTATTACCTGGCTGTTAAAAATAATGACTTCAGGAAGTTTTAAGTGAAATTAATGGAAATAGAAAAAAATCATCTGGAGTGAGATAACCCAGACACAGAAAAACATACATGGTATGTACTCACTCATAAATAGATATTAATTATAAAGCAAAGGATAACCATGGTACAATCCACAGACCCAGAGAGGCTAGGTAACAAGCAGGACCCAAGGTGGGAAGCATGGATCTCCCTAAGAAGGGAAATAGAAGAGCTTCCCTGGGTGGACTGGGGCCAGATGGGGATTGGAACTTGAAGGATTAGGTTGAGGGATGTGTGGAAGGGGAGAGGACCGAAGAGATTACTGAAAAGTGGGGATGAGGGTGTATTTTCATGTTCAGTTAGAAATCCAATGCAAGGGAAACTCCCAGGATTCTACAACCCCTAGGTAAGACTTCTATCAATAGTGAATATGTGGCCTGAACTGGCCATTTCCTGTGATAGGATTGGTGACTACTCCAATCGTCATATGAGAGCCTTCATTCAGTGACTGATGGAAGTAGAGACACATAGCCACTCATTAGGCCAAGCTGAGGTAATCCTGCTGAAGAGAGGGAGGAAGAATGGTAAGAGTCAGAGGTGTCATGGACTCTATCTTTGATGGAGATCATGGCATGGGAATAATCATTGTGATTTTGAGCAGGCCTCTTGTTCTCCTCAAATGTCAGTTTCCTTATTTACAAAACAGAAAGAGCCAACTCATGCACTGAGTACAGGGCCCAGTCCCAATACCTGGATGCCTTCCAAACAGATCAAGCTAATCAACTGTCTCACCTATTCAGAGGACCTGATCCAGTTGGGGGCCCCTCAGCTATTGGTTCATAGTTCATGTGTTCCATTCATTTGGCTATTTGTCCCTGTGCTTTATCCAACCTTGGTCTCAACAATTCTCGCTCATACAAACCCTCCTCTTTCTCGCCAATTGAACTCCTGGTGCTCCACCTGGGAACTGGCTGTGGATCTCTGCAT